AATATAGGAAATAGAATTATTCTCATTAAAGACTATCTTCTATATTAGGTTAGGATCAGAGCCATTAAGAATTAGATCAATTATAATAGGAATGTAACAATTTACTTCCTAGATTAGTTTTTTGTTTTTGCTATAAATTCATTGTACATTTCATTATGAATACACAAAGTAAATACAAAGTATTTCTTCACATGGTATCAGAGCTTGGTGTCTGAAATTTTGAAAAAAAAAAAAAAATTTCTTATTCTCTCTTTCTCGGAATTTTTTCCTGCGACTGTTCCCCGGCAATGATCAGAATCTGGTCTAATCACACCAAACTGATCATCTTCCCATCGTTGTCATAACCTGAGTGGTTTCGTCGTCGACTGCCGCTGCACGCGCCCTCACGTGCCGTTCGTTTTTTCCGGCAGCCCCTCCTCTGATCTACTTTTCCAGCAAGCGTGAGTCCTCACCGCCACCAGAATCTTGTTCCTCTCCACCTCACTGGCAAATCCCTTCAAGGTGTTTCTGTCAGGTTCTGCTCCGATCTGGTTTTCCAGCGAGTGTTTTGTTTTGTTTTTTTTTTTTTTTTTCCTGAAAGTATTTGCTAGTGGTTCTCTGGTTTGGTTGAGATTGATTTTATTTTTTCTCACAGGCCACTCTGTTCTAACAGGGGAGAAGCAGGTTATTTTTTTGTGAGCATAAGTTTCTGCTTTTTTGTCAGCTTCAAGACACTTTGACCTTCTTTATGGATTCCTCAAAATCAGCCTCTCAGTCACATACAAGTGGTTTTTCTTTTTTATCTCTCCCTCCCATCACCACTGAGCAATTAATTAGGACTGCTAATTATTCATCATGGGCTGCCTCTGTCGAATTATGGTGTATGGCTCAAGGTCTGGAGGATCACTTGACCACCAAAGCTGCCGATATTACGTCAGATAAGTCTTCCTGGACTAAAATTGATGCTATGCTGTGTAGTATGTTATGGCAAACTATTGATCCCCCTCTTCACCCTATTTACAAATCTTACCGCTCTTGTGTTGATATTTGGAGTCAGGCTAAACTTCTCTATACAAATAACATTCAGCGTTTATATTCTATTGTGTCCAACTTAGTTCATCTCAAACAACAGGATATGAATATGTCGAACTTCCTTGGTAAGATGGCCTCCCTTAAGACAGAATTTAATCTACTGTTACCAGCTGGTAAATTTGCGGCAGAATATTTGGCTCAACAGGACAAGTTCTTTATGGTCCTAACACTTGCAGCTCTAGGTCTAGATCTTACACCTGTTCGAGATCAAATTCTTTTTGGATCCACTGTGTCTTCCCTTGATGAAGTGTTTGCCATATTACTTTATGTTTCCTCCCCTACTACTGTGCATTCCCCAAGTGACTCTTCGGTTCTTGTTTCTCAGTGCCACTCTTCTAGAGAACAGGGTGATCGAAGTGGCAAAGGAAATCGACCCAAGTGTATTTACTGTCATCGGTGGGGGCATACTAGAGAGATGTTTTAAGTTACATGGTCGACCTACCAGAGCTGCTAATATTGCTCAGGCTGATCACTCTGATCTTCATTCTGAGTCCTCTACAGTGCAAGCTCAGCCTTCCTTAACTATCACATGTACTGATTATGATGAATACTTACAGTATCAGGCCAGTAAGCAGTCTTCTTCATCCATTGCCTTCGTCACTCAAACTGGTAATTTAGTTGTCTGCCTTTCTCAGTCTTCTACTTTAGGACCTTGGGTCCTAGATTCAGGTGCCTCGGATCATATTTCTGGTAACCCTCGTTTACTTACTCAGATTACAAATATTGTATCTTTACCTCCTGTTACTTTAGCCAATGTATCTAAAGCCGATGTCCAAGTTGTTGGTTGTGCAACACCCCTCCCCTCCTTAGAATTAGACTCTGTGCTTTATATTTCCAAATGTCCATTTAATCTCGTGTCTGTCAGTAAACTTACCCGCTCCTTAAATTGCTCTATTCGTTTTGATACTGACTCTTTTGTTGTACAAGACCGCGGCACGAGATGGATGATTGGCACAGGATGTGAGTCACAGGGTCTCTATCATCTCCATATCCCATCTACAGCATGCATTGTATCCGAGTCTCCAGATCTCCTTCATAACTGTTTGGGCCATCCTAGTCTTTCCAAACTTCAGAAAATGATCCCAAGTCTATCTAAATTATCGACCTTGAGTTGTGAGTCATGTCAGCTTGGAAAGCATACTCGTAGTTCCTTTCCAAAGCGTGTCAATAAACGGGTTGCGTCCCCTTTTGAGTTAGTGCATTCAGATGTGTGGGGTCCTTGTCGTGTTAACTCTAATTTGGGATTTAACTAGATTGTTACCTTTATTGATGACTATTCTCGTTGCACTTGGTTATTTCTTATGCGATCTCGTTCTAAATTATTTTCCATATTTTTATCATTTTGTGCTGAAATTAAGACTCAACATAGTACTACCATTCGTATTTTACGGAGTGATAATGCTCGTGAATATTTCTTTGATTCCTTGACTAAACTTATGTCATCTCAGGGAATTCTACATCAATCTTCTTGTGCTTATAGTCCCCAACAGAATGGCATTGCTGAGCGTAAAAATAGACACCTCATTGAAACTGCTCGTACTCTTCTTTTACATAGCCACGTCCCTTTCCGGTTTTGGGCTGACACGGTTCTAACCACTTGTTACTTAATAAATCGCATGCCTTCTTCTGTCTTACAAGACCAGGTTCCCCACTCCATATTATTCCCTGATCATCCATTATTTTCTCTTCCCCTACGTGTCTTTGGAAGCACCTGTTTTGTTCACATTTTCTCTCCTGGTCAGGATAAACTGTTAGCTAAGTCTACGAAATGTATTTTCTTAGGGTATTCACATCTTCAGAAGAGCTACAAGTGTTATTCTCCCGCCACACATCGCTACTTCATCTCTGCTAATGTTACGTTCTTTGAGTCTTCTCCATTTTTTCCTCATCCTCTAGTGGAGCCTAATCCGATAGAAGATGTCCTACCAATTCCATACATTGCTTTTCCACAGATGTCTGTTTCGGTACCTTAGTCTACTACTAATACCACTCTTCCTGTCAACAATAGTCTTGTTTCTTTTATAGGTGATCCTGATGTTCCTGCTACTGTTCCTGAGACCTCTGTCACTGTAGGTCCTGTGCTCGATTCCTCCAATGTCACGGTCTTGTCTCTAGCTAATCAGTTTTCCATTGTTATTCATAAAGGTATGCGGTCTGCACGCAACCCTCATCCCATCTACAATTTTTTTGAGTTATCATCATTTATATCCTTCATATTATGCCTTTGTATCCACCATTTCTTATGTTTTTGTTCCTTGCACTGTTCATAAGGCACTTTCTCACCCCAAGTGGCATCAGGCAATGGTTGAAGAAATGTCTGTTTTGCATCATAATTATACTTGGGAGTTAGTTTCCTTACCTCCGGGCCATTCAACTATTGGTTTTCGATGGATTTACACTGTAAAGGTTGGTCCAGATGGTAAGGTTGATCAGTTGAAAGCCCGTTTGGTGGCCAAAGGATACACTCAGATCTATGGGACAGATTATTTTGACACTTTTTCTCCTATTGTTAAGATGTCTTCCATTCGATTGTTCTTTACTATGACTGCCATTCGAAATTGGCCTATACATCAATTGGATATTAAGAATGCTTTTCTTCATGGTGAACTTCAGGAAGATATTTATATGGAGCAACCTCCTAGTTTTGTTGCTCAAGGGGAGTCTGGTTTGGTATGTAAACTTTATCGTTCTCTATATGGTCTAAAACAATCTCCTCATGCTTGGTTTGGATGATTTAGCACAATTATTTAAGAGTTTGGTATGATTCGATGTGAGTTTGATCACTCTGCTTTCTATAGACATACATCATCAGGGCAGTGTATCTATCTGGTTGTCTATGTCGATGATATTGTTATTACAGGAAGTGATCAAGATGGCATTGGACAGTTGAAGCAACACTTGTTCAAACACTTTCAGACGAAAGACTTAGGGCTACTCAGATACTTTCTTGGCATAGAAGTCGCTCAGTCTAAATCTAGTATTGTTATTTCTCAGAGGAAGTATGTACTGGATATTCTAGAGGAAACAGGGATGTCAGATTGCAGACCAATAGACTCTCCTATGGATCCTAATTTAAAACTTTTACCTGGATAGGGGGAGCCTCTTACTGATCTTGGAAGGCATCGAAGACCTGTTGGAAAACTTAACTATCTTACTATCACATGACCGAATATTTCATTTTCTGTCAATGTTGTGAGTCAGTTCCTTCAAACTCCGTGTGATAGTCATTTGGATGCAATAGTCTGAATTTTAAGGTATATCAAGGGAGCACCAGGTAGAGGCTTACTGTATGAAAATAAGGGCCATTTGCATATTGTCGGATATTCAGATGCTGATTGGGTAGGTTCTCCATCTGATAGACGTTCTAGCTCAGGATTTTGTATTCTTGTTGCAGGAAACCTAGTTTCATGGAAAAGTAAGAAACAAGCGGTTGTTACAAGGTCAAGTGCTGAAGCAGAGTATCGTGCAATGGCCTTAACCACTTGTGAGCTGGTTTGGTTAAAACAACTAATTCAAGAGTTAAGATTTGTCGAAGTATCACAAATGAAGTTGCCCTTCATATTGTTTCAAATCCAGTGTTTCATAAGAGAATTAAACACATAGAAATTGATTGTCACTTTGTTCGAGAGAAAGTTCTATCAAGGTGTATTGCAACTAGTTATGTCAGTTCCAACGACCAGTTAGCAAACATCCTCACTAAGTCTCTCAAGGATTTTCGTGTTGACTTTATTTATAACAAGTTTGACGCATATGACTTATATGCTCCAGCTTGAGGGAGAGTGTTGAAATGTAAAATAGAAAATAGGATTATTCTCATTGTAATATAGGAAATAGAATTATTTTCATTAAAGACTATCTTCTATATTAGGTTAAGATCAAAGCTATTAAGAATTAGATCAGTTATAATAAGAATGTAACAATTTACTTCCTAGATTAGTTTTTTGTTTTTGCTATAAATTCATTGTACATTTCATTATTAATACACAAAGTAAATACAAAGTATTTCTTCTTAGAGCCCATGGAATTCATCTCTTTGGTCAAGCCATCCAGAAGGCGAAAGTGCAAAGTCCAAAGTACTTGTATGCCTGGTTAGTTTCAATAATGACCTTAAAATCCACAATCTGATCGAACATATCCCCTCTAGGAAAACATTATTTTCCATTATCAACTCCCAGTAATATTTATTAAACTAATTCACTGAGGTCCCATGTAGTAGTTAATTAGTTTTGTACCTGAAACGGAAGATGATTAAGATTCATTAAACTTCTTAATCTGTTGCAGTTTGAGCTTCTCACAACAGAATACGCGTACTCCAGCAATTTCAACAATGGTTTTAAAATTATATCATCACAATTATAAAATGATATTGAAGCCATATATATAAATGTATTGCAAAAATTTAACTCTAGTGGTGAAAGAAATGAATCCTTATATGTGCATCATTCAGCTCATACCTCATGCGAGCACTTATGATCAAATTGAGTGTCAGTAATTCTGATGAACACTGCATTTGGATGTTTGAGAAGAGCCTTGACAGACATTGTCTCTTTCCTGTTTCGAGTTGATCGATGAATAAATATATGTTAGAAGAAGAGATATTTTTGGTGATCGATGAATAAATATTAAGGACACAACTTAAATTTAAATAAATAAAAAAAGAAGAGAAGTCATTACAAACTTACATTTATATATTATATATTAATCCTATGTGGAGATGAGATGTAAATGAAAATGTGATTATGTGAATAATATGACAATACCATATAAGATTACACATCATTTGGGATGTGAAATGTCTTAAATATTATTTTGTCTTTTTTATATGCATTAGCAAGACTCAAGTACATTATTTAAAAAAAAAAAAAAAAATTGGATTGAGATTTAAAATTCTATCTTTACTCGATCAGGCTCCCAACTATTTTTATCTTTGCTCCTCCCCTAGAGTGGTTCATAGTTTCACCTGATATGTAGCACCTTCACAACTCCAAATTAACTTCATACCCCTGAAATTTCAACACATTTATAGCACTTTAAGAAAGGATAAAATGTAGACCTGGCAAAACGGATGGGTGGGCCGGGTACGGTCCGGGTCAAACAGGTACGGGTACTTATACGAGTCGAGATATACGGATCCAAAATGTTGGACCCGTGCCCTACCCTATACGGGTATGGGTGGGCCCGCGGGTGAGCCCGTATTTTCTCTCTCCAGATTTTAGTTTTTAATTTCACCCTATACTACCAATTCTTGAATACCAAATTCACTAAAACCTTGGTTCTCAATAGCTTGTTGTTGACCTGAGACTAACATGTTATTACCAAAACTTTTCAATTCCCAGCCCATCAATATGTTTTTACTTCTTTCAGAAGAATCCGAAGGTGAAATTGTATCATTTGCGATAGATCCTTTCCCCCTAGAAACATGGCTCCCAGACTCCATTAAATTGCATACAAACCCAACACACTTCAATTCAAGCAACAAATTTAAACTTTTTCTTTAAACACTTTTACCCAAACACCAAGCTTAATTAAATTTTTAATCCTCAAACAAGTTTCACCCCTCTCAAGAGTATCCATTGAAGAACTTTACTAACACTTGAGAGAGTACATAACCCACAAAAGAAAAGCCAAAAGTTTCCTTCTTTGAAAGCTCAAACAGTCAAGAAACTCAGTCCTTGAGATATCAAATGCACCAAAAAAGAAAAACCCTTAGAAAAAAGCAGCAGCACAAGAACGCAGACAGATACGAACAAAAAAGCTTCAAACTTTGACAGCACATACACTTGAATTCAATAATGAAACAAACAACGAAACAAGGGAAGTGAAAGATCTTGTTCGTGCAAAGACTAACCAAAAATAGCACAACATATTATAAAGAAAAGGATAAGGCTTTTCAGTTTTCAGTAACTAAAAGAAGAAACTATAGCCCAAGTGATTATGTGTTCAAGTGTGAGTGAAAGTCTGAAAGAGAGAGAGAGAAAAGAAATACATATACTTTACCAGTATAAAGAAAAGTTAAATGGTACAAAACAATGGAAAGGTGAAGCAGAGAAAAACTGATGGGGTTTAAAATGATTGAAGTGTCACAAAACACAAAATCTCCATGGAAGAGAAAAAAGCAAGCTTGTGGTTGTGGTTGTGGTTGCTATAGTTAGAGTTAAAAAGAGAGAAGAAATAAACCAAAAACACAAACACAAAGCATTGAAGATCAGAGATGAGATGAGAGTGAGAGATCAGAGATGTGAGAGATCAGAGATGAGATGAGATTGAGAGAGTGAGAGGCGTGAGTGCGTGACTGCTGTACTGTTGTGTGAAAAAATTAGGGATTCAAAAAAATTCATTATTGCAAATACGGGTGCCCGCGAGTTCACCCGTATAAACCTTGTGTTTTTGGGCCGGGTACGGGTACGGGTCTAAAAAAAATGGGTTTAATAAATTGGACCCGTATCCTATATTTTTTACTCGGGTACGGTCCAACCCACGGGTCAGGACCCGTTTTGCCAGGTCTAATAAAATGATAGACTTAGTGATAATATAACATAAATTTAATTACCAGTCGATTATTGTAGTAAAGTAAAAAAATTAGAAAAGAAAATAATAAAAGAATTGAGTTGGTCCTTCTAAAATCTTCTCCAAGGCTTTAAGAATAGGAAATGCTAACTGTATGTGCAAATTCTAAAGTGAAGTAGAATGGGTTTGGTTCATGCAAATTCTCTTGGGAGATGGTAGCTTTACATCATTTGATCTATTACTTCCACTGGTGCTGGGCTGGGCTATCTTGGGGTGTTCATGGTAGTTTCGGAAGTTGATGGGGGGTCAAGTCAGTTTCTTAAGTTACAGGGGTCTAGGAAAATTAACCATTTATATCATAATTGCAAATATTTTTTTTTTTTTACAAAATATGAACATATTATTTTGATTAATTTATACATTAGAATGGAAATTTAAGAAAATTTAGAATTGCAAAGGGCCTGTAACTATTTATTTATTTTTATATAATTAATTATTTCAACATAACTATCAATGAATATGTAAAATGCTAAGACATTGCAAGGGCTAATTATCAAGTTAGAGGAGAAATTTTTAAGTGAGATAAATCGATATCTGTTTATAAAATCTCATGACTATTTAAGCTGATAAGCATCAACCAAGTTGCAACTTTTTATATATAAAATATGAGGAAGGAAAGAAAGATGAAGGACCAATCAAGATGCAAAGCAAACATATTTAGAGAAAAATAACAGGTTCAAATATTATGTTATAAAATACTAAAACTGGGAAACAAAAGAGGAACAAAACGTGAAGCTTTAATACTTTACAAACTAAATAAAAGGACAATGGATGGACATTAAAATATGACAACAATTCTAGAATATTGTGCCATTTTAATGTAAAAAGTTGATACTAACATATTCAAACTTATTTTGAGGTGGCCCTACTTACCACTTTATTAAAGAGCCATCCCAAGCCCACATATAGCTCCGCTCTTGATAATGGTACTTATATTTTGTGACTATTACTCTGCAGACAAGAGTGTTCTTTCTAAAAATCATGTAAACCTCACATTTTTAAAGACAAAATTATATTTACATATATAAACACAGCCGACTGGAATTTTAGAAAACATTAATAATTGCTCAATGGATAATGAATTTATGCCACTGTTAGAAGTGAAAACAGTTAAATTTTAACATAGAGAGTGAAAATTAGCTGCAGAAAGAAGACTTTCAAAGAAAAAATATTACCTCTGAAATCACTTCCTTCCTTCTAGTCTCCACATCAGCAACATGAAATATTAGCAAAAAACTACAAACAAGGCCTACAGGCTTGCAAATCATAGCCATTGAAAAAGGCTTCAACACCAACAGCACTCGAAAAATTTCATAAAGCTGTGCAGAAACCTTTTGCAACTGTAGGAATCCAGCTAAAATCTTCAACCACACATAACTTTTGAAGTCCAAATCTGCAAAATAACTCCAGAATTTCACCATTCAAGATCAAAGCATAGTCTTTCTGGCATTTACCAGTATTGGTCTAAATCTCCTAATTAAGGCTTCCCCAGGCAGAAAGTATCATTCCCTTCCACATCCAAATCTTGCTCCACTTCTGATTGGAAGAGAAGCTAACTGTCCGGCAAACACACAACACCAACTGGAATTTTTTTTAACAAAAAGCAAATATCTGCTCAGTATCCAAACAATTTAACTTAAATAACATTGAAATACATTTTTCTGCAGTATGGTAAGCCATGTTATGAAAACAGAGGCCAATAACAAAATAACTTTAAAACTGCAATAAGTAAATCCATAAGATATTATAATAGCTAATATACAAAATAAATGCTTAGTTCAAGGAGTGTATAATAACATTTTGATAAATCAACACTGAGAATTTAAATTGCATACATAGTTTAGACTGTCCAGTTGACCCGGCCCAAGTTATTAACAATTTAACACTTAATTTATTTTGTAGAAATCTAAATAGAGTTCATTCTTCCTCCTCTGTATTCTTCATTATAGACTATTGTCTTTCACCTTAAACATACAATCAATAATACTCAAGGAATTTACATACATTACTAAACAAAGAAAGCAACCAACTTACAAGTTAAATTCTGTGTTCAGCATTTGCCAACATTCCTATTTTCTGTTGCACCTGATCTCTATATAGTTAAATTCTTGCCATAATTTTATGTGAATAGTAATATCTTAATTTTCTCATATCTAATGAATTTTCTGAATACTAAATAGCTAGGGTCGTTATGAGATTAACCTTTAAAATCCCAGTGATTTATGTCTAAGAAATTGGTTCATGGGAGTCAGTTATTAATTGGAGAATGAGACAAAAGAGAGACAATTAATATTATAGAATAAGGACAACCAAAGCCAGCTAAAATCTCAGTATCTAGGCATGTAGGTCTTAGCTCCATTAAGCATTCAAAGGATTTAACTCCATTAACATTAATAAAGATAAAATGAGATTTCATCAATAAACATTTATAATTAGCTAATATATATTACACTATGATCTTAATAGTTAATATCATAAAATAAATATATTATTGCCAAAAGTGAAATTCAACCAAACGCTCTTGGAAAAAAAAAAAAAAAAAATTGCCAACTACTCAAGCTCCGAAGGAAAACTCAAGAGCAGAATACTCTTGCCAACCCCAGAATTTCTGATCAGTAAAATTAATCATCATCTCTCATTTTGATGGACTGCCTTGCAATTTGATAGGTAATAGGATAAAATTAACCATTTATTTATTTATTTTACTTCTGTTATCATCCTCATCAGATTATTGACCATAAAATAACATGTACTAGCTATGGAACAGGACACTAATGGATCACTTCAAAATCAACTCCCACTAATGCAAATATACCTTGCGGCTCAGATCTGCTTAAGTAACTTTAAAACATCCCTTGTGTTGAACCACTGCTCCTGATGTATCCTCTGCTGCATAAACAGATGCAACACAGTAATACAAGATTCATCATAAAATATAAAGCAAGTAATAATGCCTCTAATTTAGATAGTGAGAAATTATAAAGCAAATAAATCACAACAGAAATATCTGAAAGTTACTTGCATCTGTCCTGTTGCGATAATGCAATGGGCCACCGTAGTTCCTCTCAGATTATTTTTCGGCTGTAAGAATCCCCTCAAAATAATTTCAGGAGACCAAACTTATTTAGTAGACATAGTCAAAGCTTTTCACTCATGTACATGGAAAGAAAAAATATATATATAGTTTAAAAAAAATAAAATAAAATAAAATCAGCATACATCTTTGTGTAGACATCACAACAGCAGGCAGCCTTTTGATATAAAGAAGACTTTTGATGTGGTGTATCATGTGTCACCGCCAAAAACCATATCTTGTTCTAACATTAATATTTCTGTCCTGGAATTTTTAAACTGGCATTTCATGCAACATAGGTTCAAAGCAACCCAATAATAATTCTGTCCCAAGTTTACATCATGCTTTCCACAGGATTAAAAATTGAAGGCGGCATAGGTCAGAGAGCTTAATGTGTCTCTGTACAACTATATTATGCATCCATAAAAAGAAAGTGAGTTGCACAACTCACATGAGCAAATTTACAGAGAACATTCACAAATATAGATGTGACACATGGAAGAACACTGAAAGACTAATCCTTATAAATCATTGAATCTACTAATTGCATTATTCAAGAGCAAGTAGCCAATATTTTTATAGGAGGTTTTACTCTAATTTTCCAGAACAATTATCTAAAGAAGCTAAATAACATATCTAAGAATTCTGATCAACTTTGGAAAAAGCTTGCAGAGGTTTTCAAAGTTTAATTTTCAGATAAATTGAGAAAAAGCTATACATGGACAGTATAATATCTTATTTTTCTTTAAGTGAACTAAGAAGGAAAAATTAACCTAATCATAAATTCTTTAAAACCTCTTGGTAGCAAATAAATAAAGAGAAAGTACAACTACAATCAGGATCAAAATTACCTGTCTCCGTCATGTGTAACTTTCATAGGAGAAAAACCATTATCGAGTATTAGTGAACCACTCAAAAACTTTCTATGCTCAGAAATGGGATGACATGGGAAAGAGCTATTTGCCCTAAATCCCCTCTCTCACTCCTTCCAGTTTCTTGGTCTTAAAAGAAACTGACCTTGAACCCTCATCATCCTCACCAATATCAAAACAACCTCTTCATCAATAAGGGAAAAAATAATTACAGGGAAGAAAATTCTATCTTTTTTTCTAATTGGCATTTATATTACACAAATGCATAAGAACAGTAATGATTAGAAAATAACAAGAATGAATTGGGGAAAAAAAGTTTCTTAAGTCAGCATTTTTATTCCATCCAACTCAATTTTACAAACAATTTCAAACTGAAAATTTCAGGAAAATACATTCCGCCACCCTGGAAGACACTTAATTATATTGATGAAGCTGTTAGCAATGAAGATGAGACGGAAATAATCCTTACTTAAATGCTTGCAATGATTTGATAGGAAATGAAGCAAATGAACTCTCCAAATCATGAAGCTCGTTGAAGCCATCCTAAAACAAGCAAAAGGAAAAAGAGGAAATCTGATGACAATACAAGGCAAAATAAATAAATAAATTCTAGAAAATACTACCTCCTGACTTGGAGCACATTTGAGTGGTTAGACCTTTGTCGGGATAACCTTCTTACTGGAACCCCTAAACAATCTTAGCTGTCTCTTTGGCTCCCACTTCCATTTGGATCTTGTCTATTTGCTGTATATCATCATCCCGAATATGCAGGCAACACAGTGCTTTTGATATAGCCAAAAACAAGAATGCAAGTTTTTACACCAATGAAATAGTAAGAAATAAATCAAACTTTGTCAAGGAAAATAAAATAAAGTAGGCGCCCATATCTTACACTAGAATTGAAAAATTAAACAAAAGCCGTATTCTATACAAATAGATCTGCCTACTTTTGTTATAAATAAAATGAAATTGGTGATCGATTCTGTGTTGGAGTACAAAGAAATAATTTTATTTTATTAAATGATTTCAATTCATGTCTTAATTATATGAATTTAATTAAGAAATCTTCCATGTAACATAATGTTGAAAAAAAAAAAAAAAAAAAAAAAAGCACGTCTTTCAAACATTTTATCAAACAACTCTGGCACATCACTTAACTTGATCAATCAAAAACATCTACAGGACTTACATACAAAAATATCAAACATCAAACAGAATCTTTAGTTAAAATATAATTATCAAAGTCACAACCACACGAAGCTTCAGTTCTAAAACGCAAATATCAAATCACGGTTATACAAAGCATTCACTCCTAAAATATAGTTTAAAAGTGGAGCACAATGATTTTGCTTACCTACCGCTTGTGACGGAGAGTGCTAGAATCAGCGCCGCCGGTGACGGTGCGTCGTTAGCTAGAAACACCAGTGCAGCTTGAGCTAGCTTCCGCTAGAGATACAAATACCGCCGGTGACTGTAGCATGGGGAGTGAACAAGATGAAACAGGTGGCGGCTTTTACCGTGACGAAATACAGGGTTGTTTTATTAATTTAACACGTATATTTAATTATAATATATTTATTATCATAAATAATTTTTAATTAACATCAATTCAACGGTGTTCAAACTGTTTACTCCATATAATTTTATTATGTTGTATAAAAACCATTTTATTCTATTTTACCCAAATATGGAACAGTATTATAAATTATAAATAAATGACAATAAAAATATTATTGATGGTGGTCGTATATATATATATATATATATATATATATATTATATATTATTTTAATATATATATATATATATATATATAAAATCATATTAATAGCAACAATGCAGTAGAAAATAAAAAGATTTGGAGTGAGTGAATACCATATTTGTAAACATCTTATGGATTTTAGAATTAAGGTTAATGTTCTACAAATATTCTTCATAGATCTTGTCTCTTATTTGTACCCTATTCAGTTTTGGTGTGTTTAAGCTTCCTTGGCAAAAGATCTTCAAATTGGGGCATTGATTCACAATTACTTATTCTAAGCGTCAGAATTCGAAAGCGTAATTGGTCACAGTGGCGAACTCAGGATTTTTGCCTAAGGGTGCCTGTTGCTCCATCACTATTTGTCAATCAACTAGTAAAAATATAAGAAAATAACATTCAATTTACAAGGAAACACAAGAAATTTTTTACGTGGAAAAACCTCTTCAATATGAAGAGATAAAAAAAACTACGGGAATCTAATGATCCATTTAAATCTAATATAATCAAAAGAGTTTATAATAACCACAAATCCACCAAAAATATTCTACACAAATTTAGAGCTCAATCACAACTCTAACAAAAATAAAATACACAAAGGTTTACAAAGAGATGGATTACAATCGCTCAAAATCCAAATCCAGACGTTAACATTCTAACTTAACCGTCTAGATTAAAGATCCACACATCCTCTGCGTATTGGCCCAAAAATCAAGTTAGAATGGTATACCTAAAGATCTAAATAATATGAATATTGATTATTTAAAAATGAAAGCAAGTTAGAATAGTATACTTGAAGATGTTCAATTTAACACGATTTTCCATTTCATTATGTTCTGAAAATGTTCAATGATATCTTCATTTTGAATTGTAGCAAAAACTTCCTTTTCAATGTAAACTACTAAGCAATTGTTCGTCCACTCATCTCCCATTCGATTACGCAAAGTATTCTTAACAAGATTCATTGCAGAGATCACCCTTTCAACTGTTGCAGTAGCCACGAGCAAAACCAGTGCTAATTGAATAACACCCTTTCAACTGTCATTTTCTTGCATATTTTCTTGCAATTTTCAATATAATTTTAACATCAATCTCACATAACATCAATCTTAAATATTCTTGTTAAATTATAGATTTAACGATCTAAGAGCTTATTTAAACTTAAAACTTCGATATTTTAGTAGGCTAACCTTTAGGAGACGTGAGTGAGAGAAGTTGAGAGTGAGATTTTTTTAATTTCTGGTTGCAAACTTGCAGGTTGAACCTCAGCCGTCACATGTCAACTTTTACAGTAAAAGAGAAGTTGGGAATTGGGGAAGAAAAAGTGGAATATGAAAAAAGACAAAGCCTACTTTTTCATTTTTTTTTACTTTTACTTTTTTTTTTAACCTTTGAAAAAAACTTAGGCTTCGTTTGGTTGGATTTTGGGAATACTACTTTTAGTATTCCCAAAAAAGTTAAATAGTAAAATACCCAAAAACTCACAATATTATTCAACTTTATTGAATATTTTTTAAACCCCCTAAATTTGTTAATTCAATTAAATACCCCTAAATATTTTTAATGTTTTTGTTATGGTGACTCCGGCCACCCTCCGGCGGTGGTGGCCGGCTGTCCGTATTTGAGGGTGAATTGGGGGTGTTTTTATTAACTTTTAATATTTTATTATAAGGGGTGTTTTGTAAAAAAATAAACATAGGGGGTATTTTATTAATTTGTAAATCCTACATCGTAATACCCGCTCAATTCAACATTTTTTTTAACTTTTTTCAAAAAAAATTTCTCAAAAACACAAAATTGTGAACCAAACGGAGCCTTAACAATTTTTTTTTTAAAAGTTGAGGCCTACCCTAAAAGGGTCTGGGTCCGCCCCTGATTGGTCAAGCAAAAGTTTGTGAGGCTTGGTAAACAATGAAGCTCCAAAATTTTCAATTGGTTGAAAACAATCTCCTCTTCCGTCATCTCTACCTCAGTCGCTATTACTTTTGTCACTAATTTGCATTCTCTTATTATGATTGTTGTGGGATGGACAAGAGTTCTTGCTATTGAGCATGCCAATATCATTGCTAATCCATTGCAACAGAGTACTTTCAAATTCTGAAGATATTTGAACGAAATGGCTGAAGATGACATTAGATATTTCAAACAATGACATCTCTTTACTCTCAGAGTTTGAAGATTTTGAAGAAATGTGTCCAGTTGGGAATCTTGTTGCCATATATATCATTCATATGGGAATAACTCTTGAAAATTAATGAATAAACAAGAATATCCTTTCATCAACTAGTTCATAGTCAAATTTAGTATATAAAGAGTGCCACTTTTTAGCCATCTAACTTTTCCAATTAATTGTATTAGTTATACGTTTTAAATAAATATAATTATGACAACCTAATTATAAACTACTTTAAAAATACAAGAATTATATTAATTAAAAAAATTTATATTTTACTTTAAAGCATTGTCAATACCTTCAATAAATCCACTCAATTGGTTTGAAGAGGAAAAAGGAAGTAATAACAAAAAGAAAGAAATGTCACAAATAAACCTTAATGATTATGTTGCATTTATTAGTGACAATAGGAGAAGTCATACCTTTTCAAACGAAAACAAGGTAGGTTGGCTCTCTTCACACTACAAGAAAAACTACATTCTGCAATCAATTTTTTAGCAACTAATCAGAATTAGTTGCAAAAAGGTTACATTTATCAACTAAATTGCCAGCAAAGAGCAATTCAATTTCGGGGTCCACATATTTCAACTTTTGACGTCTAAAGTTAATGTTCCGTGACTATTTTAGGTGGTCTTTTCTTCAAACACTTGTTCTACATCTTTATCTTTTTATTTTCTTCTTTGTCCTGCATTCTTGTTATAGATTAAGATTAGTAGATATATTATGATTTAGAAAGGTATCAAGTGCCTTCTCCAGCGGCTATTATGCAAATTATCTAAGAGAATCAAGCTCAAGTTTTATCATCAGAAGGAAGAGATTTACAAGGGCTTTCATTTGGAAAATGGTTAACCTTTTTCCTTGATGCAGCGCTCTTAGCCGCCAGATTTTTTACATCATCTTGTTATTCATAGTTTTCTCCATGGATCACCCATTTCCTAGCAATCTCATTACCTTTAATGGCTATAGGATTATTTCTCCTCTTCCTTTTGGAAAGATCAATCCTTTAACGAAGCCAAAGTGTTATATCTTTTCAAAGGAGGGGTAAGATTGAATCACTCCATCTTGTATCCTATTGTCCTAGAGTTTAGATTCATACAAATATCTGTACTTATCCATGTTGATCAGAAGTAAACATTGCTACCAAAACCTTACAGTATTGGGATCACCTTGCATTGGGGCCGTGTTTGTATTTATGGGAAATAAGAATAATAAGATGAAGAAGAAAATCAAGCACCTTAGTGACAGTGAGAAAATAAGTTCACTATCTTCTAAATCAGAACCCGTATGAAATACACTATCTGAAGAATGATTTTCACAACCTCATTAGAAGAGCCTATGTTACCTTCTCCTAGCAAATAGATTTTTCAGTATGTACTACATAGGGAAAGAATTGAAGTAAATTGAGAGATCAAAAAGAGAAATATGTTTTCAAGAAAAGATTTTATTAATCAATAAAGAGGAACATGCATTTGAAGGTTATTTTGAACAAGACTTTTTATTTTCTGGCTATTAGGATATGATCTTTTGAGATAAAAATCAGATGACTGCATATATGCCTTATAAATGAATAGTCTTCTCCATATATTTATGAAACAGATATTGTAGGCAACAAGCTATTTGTGAATTCGGCGTAAAATTTGCTACAAGGGAAATATACAGCACCAGTTGTACAAATAAGGCATTGCAAAGACAAATAAGGGGGACGGTTATGTTGAGTTAAATTTTGTGTATATGACAAATAGTTGGTATCTGTATGTAGTTCTTTTTCTAATGAAATGATGAGTAGTACGGAATAAATTGCCATGTCAACAAGTCACTAAAACGTATAACATGTAAAAGTCAATATGTTAGCTATAGAGGGCTTCCATCCAAGTTGGTATCTAAAATATTCCTAAGCTGGAAAATAAAGCATATGATCGTTTCCAAATTTTTTGCAATTTAAATATTGGTTCTTCCCACAGATTTTTGTAAAACTAATTTTTTTTTTTTTTGGCTGAATTTTCTTAAGCTTTCCTTCATTTTCTCTCTAGGCCATACTTATTAAATCTAATAAATAACGAGATCTGTCATATAGAATATTTGGCCATTAGAGTGCTTTTGTTTATCTTAGAGCCCTACAAATTTTAATCTCTCAAAAGATATCATTGAAGAAAGTATTGATCTTCGATTTCACTCCACCGCCATGGTCCATACTTATTATGTGGTTAAGCACTTATGGTGTGAAATCAATTATTATATGATTTATTTTACGAAATTGAAGAAGTAACTAACTTTTTTTTCTGTCTTTTATAGTAATTGAATATTGTAGGCTACCTTTTATCCTTCTGGGTTTCGTGCTTGCACCACTTGCCACAATGGTTGTGAATTAGATATGATAAGATATCTACCATTTGATCACATTATTTCGGGAAATCAAGTAGTTTCCAAAGTATACCTTTGGTCTCTGATCTATGTCATAATCATTAATGGAGTTGTCAATAAGAAGTTTATATTGAAAACAATTCTGTTTACGCTAGCCTTTGGTCATTTTTAAAAGGACAGGAACTTGCTTTCTATGTTTTTATATTTGAAAAACTTATTCTGAGAATCGGTCGATGATGAGGTGTAACCATTG